AGTGGTCTTGTTTCTGTTTCACTCACAGCAGTTCCGTTTGCAGTGTTCTCTTTCTCTCTGTGTGTTCCTCTCACCACTCCTCTGCAGCAGCTGCACGTCACTTTTGTAAGTTGATTTTTGCTAATGAAATCTGTTTTATTGCGCTTTTTTTGCACCAAAAATGCATATTATGGGAAATAGATCTTAGGGGGAGGGTTCCATGTTAATGATGTTACTAAGACTGTCCTGCTCTCCCGCTTCCAGTCGAGCAGAGCTATTCCAAGCTCTTCGACCGCAGGGGAAATGAGGCGGGGCTCCAGTTTTGTATTTAAGGCTGTTCCAATGTCCATACATAAAACCATGCGGCTGCACAGAGCGTTGGCTGTCCTTCATAAGACCGTAGGTGCAGCTGTCCTGGGAAATTTGTCTCCGGGGTTTTTCCTTTGCTCGCCTTCCCGTATTTTCATAATTCTTTATCAACTTTTTTTTGGAAGAGGGTGGGGGGGGGGGTTCTTCATCTCAAATTTCTTCGATTCCCTGGACACTGGTGTGAGAAAAATTTAGTTAAAAGCGGGCCTTCGAAAGCGAGGCAAATGAGCATTTTGGAAGTGATCTTGCATGTGTATGTGACGAGAACGAATAGCAACGGTATCTGTGACTAGACGAGGGAGTCGACGGCCCTGTTGAGAAATGAGAGCAGTGACAACCAGGCACTCAGAATGTACAAAATAAGGAAACAGCAAAAATCACCCCTTTGCAGCCAAGCACCAAAATCAGCAATTACGAAAACTTCGCTCAGCTTGGCCGGCGTCACACACAATTTGGTTCTGGCACTAGCGCTTGCTACCGGTCATTTGGCAACTTTGTTGCTTTTTTTTTGTGGTATTTTTTATTTGTTCCCCTCATTCTTAAGCAGCCAGAGAATACTTCCAGGGAGCTATATACAAAATGGACCTATCACAAGATCCAAATATGGCGGAGCTGTTGAATTTATTGAACGAATTGCCGAGCACGGAGTGGAATGACCGAAACAATCAGGTAATGCTGCATAACAACCAGATGGGCACGCAGAACACATTTACATGGGACAATAATCAGCTCGGAATTGCTAAATTGCACGGAAAACAAGACGAACGCCTAGAGGAAGCAGAATTTTCTTGCATAAAGAAAATGCTGTATGGTGACAGCATGTGCAGGCCTCCTGTGAGTTTTGACGGGGAAAATTATTATCTCAGGAAGCTAGGAAGCTGAAATTCCGTGGGTATGCCCCTTGCTCACGTGCGACTCAGGAAATTTAAACTTAACATTTCTGTGCCTGCGTGTGACAAGTACGGGCCCGTGAAAGCTTTGCCGGGGGAAATTATTTGGAACGTAGAACGGCCTGGTGATATGTGAATGGGATAGAGAATGGGACTTTGTTGTACTTATTAGGACGATTAGCATATGTCAGACTCATTACCGTTAATGCTCGTATACGTGGTGTATTCGCCCTTCCTTCAGTGGGATGATGAAAAAAAAAAATGAGCAGTTTCGTTTGAATGCAAAACCCACCAGTTCTTTTCAGCTTGTGGATTCACCGGCTGCCGAGCTCGCCAATCCAGTAGATACGTTGCCCACGCAGTGTGTTTGGATCGCTTCGATGGATGCACCAAATTATGTTAGCCATTTCTTAGATGTTTCAGACTTGTTGTTTTAGAAATTTTAGAGGTACAGTATCCCTGGCTAGGAGCTTGGAAGAAGATGGGGACCTGAGATCTTCTATGTGTTGACATATGCAGTTTGTTTGACATTGCTGACCTATCATGGAGAGGAACATAGTCGAATTTTGATAATTAATAAAAACACAGTGGAAGTAGTGCCATTTAGATCTCCCAAATAAGCGAGCCTGTGTGCGCAGTGACTGTGTTTCATCCTTGAACACATTTCATGCTGATAGTTTTTCTTACGAAGTCGATACGCCTGGGCCCTTTCATGCTTGTTGAACTGCAGCCTTTTGTACCTCCTTTGCCTCTTCCGAAACCGCCCATGTGGCCATATTTTCTTGCGCATATCATGTGGCCTCCATCAGTTGCTAGTGAGGGGAGAAATGTGTCCCACTCAGCAGATCGTCTTTGTACGATACACGCCACGTTTTCAAAGTCTACAGTTGTTGTGGAAATACCGAAATCGACACGGATTGTTCAAGCGGCGTTCCCGACCAACTCCTAGCCGAGGAGTTTTAGCCCTGCTGCTATTCGTAATGTCATATTCGCTTGCAACTCGTGCTCCGAGTTTGGCGTTTTCTGACACGAATTTAGCATTTAGGGGGCCCGTATGCTGTTCGACGCAATTTGGCTGTTTTTCCAGCTCATTGCGCAGTCCGATTCATCACCATCGCCGCGCTCGCTGACTCTTTTTTATCGCTTTTTTTCTTCAGTCAGTTCTGCTACCATTCCATTCATGAGGGAAAAAGAAGCGACGAATAGAAACTGCCGCTGTATAAAAAACTCAAAAACTCGTATAAAAAACTCGACCACTTCTTCATTCCAGCTAGCATTTTTTCCCTCGTTCTTGCTCACCACATTTTGGGTCCACTTATAAAGTATCCATTTTTGGTTGTCTTCATTCATCTGAATTGTTGAATTAAAAATTCCCCCGGTTTTTCTCTTCTAAATGGGTTTCAAATCGTTCTGTGCCAAATTCGCTTGAGATCTTGTGAGTTTATTTTTATTTTACATTTTGGGCTAATTGAAGGATACGACCGTACGAATGGCCTCACCAGCGCGAGTTCGTTGTGCCGACGTACGATGCGAAACAGCGCGATGCACTATATTTGCCGGCCAAAACCAGTGTGGTTCCTTTAAACGCGGCCTCGAACATTGCTTTAAACAGGAGTCCAGAAAATGCTTCGCGTCTGTGTGCGCGAGACCCGAGCGTTGCTTTATGCGGGCTGAAGTAAATTTTTACAAAATATATCTCAACAAAAAAAGAGCAGATATTGGCTATAATTACAAAAGCACGTTTACTTGGAGTATTTTTTAAAAAGTAAAGCACTCCTGGCTTGCCAGGTGTCGTCGGATTCGGGCGAGAATACAAGCTCGGTTGTTAAGAGTGGTACTGTTTGGGTGGAAGACGATAGCTCGATAGATTTACGAAGAGGTGGGCCATCATTACATAAGCGGATCTAGAGGAGAGGTGAGGGGG